AGTTGTCACCAAAACTCTAGCAATAGCTAGGACTATAGATCCCATCAGACTTGCAAGAATTCTGGAGTTTAGGGGAGCGGGACTACGAGTTACAAGGAGGGAAGCTCGGGCCTGCTCTCCTTCACTAACAGCCGGCCTTGCTCTTGGCTGACGTTCTCCAAACTCCAGTGGCGGATGAGGGGCAGGGGTGGCTCTTGGGTCTGCAGCATGGCAAAGCACAGGGTAAAAGTTCTCTCTCCAAAGGTATGGCTGTCTCCCCACCCTGGAAGCAGAGTTTGTCCACCCTGTGCTGTACTATTGGGAACACAACTACCACAGGGGCTTACAGTGAGAGGAGAGGAGGACCCCTGAGTCTGCTAAAAAGTGTCTCCACTTTGTTGCTATCTCATGTGTGCCCGAGCAATGTAAAGCAATATCCTTAAACCAAGCTAAAGCTAAGGCTTATCCTCTGTACATGTGAGAAATCTGGGCCGCTGAGAGAGGCAGCAGGATCAGAGAAAAACTACACATGGGCGATGGAGACACTCATTCTTTCTTCTCCCAGGTGACTTGAGTCTCAGACTTCCCACTTACCTTGCCCTGCAGTTGACCTTTTTGAGACGTGACATGCTAGATTAATTTCTTGGCCTCTCTTTCCCTCTTATCTGGGACCAACAGAAGGACTCCATGACTTCAGAGATTGTGCCATAAGTAAAAAGTGCTGTTCTCTCCGCAGCTGGCTTTTCTCTGTTTGGATTCTGCCTATAGCAATGACCATTTTCCTCACGTTTCCTTGTTAGCACATTTTGAAACAAGAAAAATCCTACTCCGCGTCCCCTGTTCCAACATACACACCACAAACCAACTGTAGCTGTTTCTCTATCCATCTGCCATTTTAGCCTTTGGAGAGGGAGAACTTATTAATTTTATTTATTTATACCCGACCTTGTTGTAAAGACACGGCATACATTTTGGTAAGGTAAATCAAATTTGAAAAATCATGTAAAAGAAAACAATAGCAGGAAAATAAGGTGGGTTTAGGAATGAGTTTAAGTCCCAAAATGCAGGCCAGGAAGACCTAATACCCCCTCTTAAATGGGGGCCACAAGTTTGGCTCTTTCTAGCAGCCATTCAAGGGGGGATATAAGCAAATAGGTGATTGACGGTGGAAAATGTACCATCTGCTCAGGAGAAGTCCAAAGACCAGACAGAAATTTCTCCTAAATATCTTTAGAGATAGAATCATGTGTAGTGGAACTAACGTCTTCAATAACATTCTTACAGTAAATAGAATGATGAATTTCACGGTGAGAATTGAGGGCTGAGGAAAGAAAGAAGAAAGGAAAGGCAGGGACTGTAGCAGAGGGCGTCTAGAATGGTTTGTGCCTAATCAGAAAGGGGGAGGTAAGATTTAATTTGCTAAGGAATCACAAAGTACTTGTCTTCCTCAATCCCTGGGAAAATTGAAGATTTTTTTTTTCTTGAAAGAAATCATTGGGATTTTCCCCCTGACAGATGGAGAAGACCAAATAATAGCCAAAATCGTTGAGCTGCTGAAATACTCAGGGGATCAGTTGGAAAGAGAGGTATGAAGCTTCTTGAACTAACATGATTTCTTTCTGTGCCCATGCACTGGTACATGAGAATGGGATTGTACTCCTGGTTTACAGCTTTTCAAAGTTCTAGTTTCCACTTAGTCCTAAATTTTATTTCCCTTGGATTCAAAATTTCTTCATGCTGGCAGGCTCTCAAAAATGAATCACTTTGGAAAACATAAGTAAACCTTCTGGAGCCTCCTTGGAATTTTTGGAAACAAAAAAAGTAACTTTGTTATTGTAAGAAAAGACACCAATAAATTACAATTTGCTGACTAGAATTCTGAATCTATTTCCCCGTGTAACTGATCCTCAGGGAAGTTTAGACTCTTGCATTTGCCCTGCAGCCAGGATATCTGAGTCCCACAGCTGCTCCAGGACGAGACCCCTTTCTGAATCCTCCCCCTAGAGTGGCTGGACTTTTCTCTACTTAAGGTCTCTCTTAGCAATTCGACTCGGGAGCTGGGTTAGTGTTACTTGGAGAACTTTGGATTTCCTGCCATTTAGAAGCCGAGATCTGTCATTCCCAACAGGATCATGTGAGAAGTGCCTTCAGGTGAAGAGCTGGCGAGCAGGCCCCCACTATAGTCAGAAGGGCTTATGAACACCATCTCTTCCATGTCTGTCACCCACAGACTGCCAAGTAGTCTCCAGAGTTTGTCCATCAGGCGCTGGCCTAGGGATTCATTTCCTTGTTTTGCCAGGATCCATGCGGAGGAAGTCAGGCCTTGGGGGGTAGCCAGTCACAACATGCTCAGGGGCTCCTCTCTCAGTGCCTTTGTCAATGGTGTGCCCAGAGGATGGTGACCCGGGTAGTGAAGCATCTGGGAGATGGTGCAGAATGAAAAAGACTGAGAAAACCAGGGCTATCAGACTAAAGGAAAGAGAAGGGGTGTGTGTAAACTCGGGGGCCACAAGTAGGGAGTATATGGGGGTGCAGTGGAAGCAGAAAACAGAACATGGTATCTGATTTAAGGACACCCCTGGGTTTCTCCAGAACTAACACCAATGGATAGGAGTTGCAGAGAAAGCTGATTTGTCCCCATTTTAAGGATGAACTTTCTAGCACCCGGGGCTGTCCCTCAGAGACAAGGACTGCCTCGTGAAGGAATGATCTTCCTGCCACTAGAAGAATTTCAAGTAGACGCCAATAACTAGCCAGCAGTTCAGTACCTGAACTGGGAGACAGCCATTTGATGTCCTCGAGGATTCTTTACAGCTCGAAGCTTCTGTAGCTCTCGCAGCATTCTCCATTCCAGCCTTCCTATGCACTGACTTGCAGTAGGTCAGGGAGGCAGGGGCAGGGGGCGGGATGAAGTCAACCCCTCTGGTTATGAAGAGAGATGCTTTCCATTTCACCCCACAAATTACCACTTTAAAACACCTCACTTTGCCTGATACACCCTCTTGATGATTTGGGGTGATACTTTACGTAGAACACGCAGCTGTTTTTCCTTTTTATGTGGTTCCCCAGTAGAGAACTCTGGCAGGAACGCATAGAAGGTCTGATTTATGCTGTGTGGGTGGAGTTCCCAGCAGAGTGGGACAGTGAAGAAGGGCCCGCCATGGCTGCAGAGCATCTGCAAAGCCACTCATCCCTGAGAGCACACGCAGGCTCATCCTGCACCTCCCTGTGATGTCACAGAGCCAGCTGCACCAAAAGGGGCAGGGGGAGGGGACAGGGTGCTCTGTGGGAGATGTTGCTTTCTGGCATTGGGTTTTTCTACTGTTTTAGCTGAGTCCAGGCTTCCAGTCGTCTGCTGAGGTTTGCATCTCGCTTCTTCAACTGAGTCACTCACTAGAAGGAGTCTATTCTTGATGTGGAGGGTGCTGGTCATTTCTGCTTCAGATTTATAATTCAGATAAGCCCCTGTGTGACATGGAAGCTGGGGGGGTGGGCTGGGCTCAGATAAAGGACACCGTTCCACCAAAATCTTTCCATAGCATCTGACTCATCCCCTGAATATCCCTTTTATAAACAACATTTGTAGGAAACCTGCTCAGCTTATCATTCTTCAAGCACAGAGTCTAGAGAGGGTTTTCAAATAAACATTTAGTCCCTGCTCATTAAGACATTTCTGTCTTCACATGGCAGCCATCATATTTATAGACGTTTCAAGGATGGCTTTAAATGAGGGTGAGTTCTGCCTTTATGACACAAGCCCAGATTTTTTTCAAAAGAAGCAGAAGCAGTATTTATTTTTGTTAAATTTATAGTCCAAAGACAGGTAGAGTGGAAAGATACTAGGGGAGGTAAAATAGAATGGGCAGAACAACGGAAAGGAATCAATGGATTAGGGTTGTTCTTTTTCTAAGTGAACATATGCACCTCAGGGAGTCTTCCCTGACGCCCCTGTGCTCTCACAGCATCCTGAAAAATTACATGTCGAGAGCACTTCTCTCTGTCAGGCACTGTGCTAAGTGTTTTACTCAGCTACCCTATAGTATAGGTACTATCATCATCTCGGTTAAAGGTGGCAAAACTGAAGCTGAGAGGTTGAGTAATTTCCCCAAGACTGCACAGCTAGTAAGAGGTGGAGCAGAGGTTTGAGCCAAGACAGTGATTTCCAGGCTTTGGATTCTGTCCCTGACACGACTCTAGCAAAGCATTTGGCACGGTCTTGGCAATTGTCGCTAGACCGTGAGCCCCTTGAGTGAGCGCCTGGGTCTTCATCACCCATAGTACCTGCCCACTGCAAGAGCTCAGGGAACATTTGTGGAATGTTGAATGAGTGGGCTGGTCAGTTTTATCAGCGATCGTCCCGAAGAGATAAATTCATAGATCAGGCACGTGCCCATCTGGTTCTGCAGGACACTGTGCCATGGTTGAGACTAGAACCCAGGGTTTCACGTTGGGTACTTTAGTGGCCCACTGTTGAGCTAGAGTGTGCCTCACTCGGCCACACTGCTCTCTACTGAACACTTATGCTCTTTACACAGCTGAAGAAAGACAAGGCTTTGATAAACTGCTTCCAGGACGGGTTATCCTACTCTGTTTTCAAGACCATCACAGACCAGTTCCTCAAGGGTGTAGACACCAGGGGAGAAGCGGAGGTCAAAGCTCAGGGCTTTAAGGTTGCTCTTGCAATAGATGCCACAGCCAAGCTCACTGCCATTGACAACCACGCCATGAACAAGGTGCTAGGCTTTGGAACCAAGTACCTGAAAGAGAACTTTTCGTCCCGGATCCAGCAGCATGGTGGATGGGTAAGTGCATCCTATTTAAAAATGAATCCAGATCTCAGAGTAGATGGGATGAAACTCCTGAGTGTTTCGGGGTTTTTTTTTTTTAAGTGAAGGGAACACATTGGTGAAGCAGTTCTCATGGGTTTAGGACACTTGAGTGGCAAAAGATAGATCCCACTAATGGGAACATATTTTTAGTGATTATCTTCATCATCAATAAATATTTACTGAGCTCCCAAAGGGTCCATGTGTGTCAGGGGAGAGGGACTGGCCAGATGTAACAGGAAATGAGGAGATGTTGAGATATAAAATGTTTAGACAGATATAATTTGTTTTCAAAAATTTTGCAGGCAGCAAAAGTCTGGCAGTGAGATCAGGAGAAGTGGACTGTTGCTCATACTCTCAGATGCTGACAGGGTACAGGGATAATCCTCAGGCAGGGATTCAGGCTTCATGATGTTTTGTCATTGCTACTTAGACCCAGCATTTTGATGAGGGCATTTTGATACAAACCAAAAAGCAAACAGTTACATTTTCATCTGTTTTAAATTACCTGATGTCAGGCAAAACAGACATCTTCACCCCCGTGCCTCAGCCTCCACCCCTCCCTCACTCTTTATCCCCATTCCTTGAGATTTCCTTCGAACTGTCATGTTCAAATGGCCTCCAAAGGTCAACCTTCTCAAAATGCTTTACCCTAAAGCTTTAAATCTCACCCCCCCCCCATATGGCATTTCTGTCTGTTCAAGCCCTTCCTCGGAGGACAGGCCTTCATCCACATTATTCTTAGTCCTCTTTCCATCGGAATGCACCGGGGGCCAGCAGCAGGTGTAAGTCTGCTCCAGTCATGGCCAGCATGACTCTGGGGCCTCCAGACAGAAGGAAAGTACAGCTGATCTTGCCTACGGGGCTGAAGGGCCCACCATGGTCTTTTAGTGGATACCTATTGAGCTTCCCGAATCTTCTGTTCTTTCCCATTTCCCACTTTTGCACCAGATATGATAGCCTTTAAGTGGCTGTTCTGAACAACTAAGGCTCTTATGTATTCTAAGTTCAAGCTGCCTTAACTCATGCTAAGAGGATAGATTCCGCAACATTATTTCAGCATTGCCTGTTCTCCCTTCCAGGACCCCCTCAAGTCTTTCTTGTGCCCCAGAGCCTTTCCTGACCACCATAGCTCAAGGTCCACACCAGCCTCTGACCCTCTCACAGCACTTTGTGTTTGTGCTATAATTATATACAGGAAATCACCATCATTGTTGGTTCTGTTTATATTTTTTTCCAGAGAGATTAAAAGTATCATTTGGGTTCACAGGTCAGTTCTCAAAAGTCTGTTAATTGATGTAGCTGAAATGCCAAACTTGCCTTATAGACAATGGTGGTTCTACACCAAAAGCACAAGCAACAAAAGAAAAAATAAATTGGACTATATCAAAATTAAAAACTGTTCCGCTTTGAAGGTCCCCATCAGGAAAGTGAAAAGACAATCCACAGAATGGGAAAAAATATTTGCAAATTGTGTAAGGAACTTGTATTCAGAATAAGTAATGAACACTTACAGTTGAACAATAAAAAAGATAAACAACCCAATTTTTTAAATGGGCAATGGATTGGAACAGACATTTCTCCAAAGAAGATATACAAAAGGCCAATGAGCATATGAAAAGATGCTTGCTTGACATCTTCATTTCAACACTGGGGAAACGCAAATCAAAACCACAATGAAACACCATTTTATACCCCCTAGCATGGCTGAAATAAATGATTCATAAGTCAAAAAGTGGAAACAATCCAAATGTTCATTAATGATGAATAATGAATAAAAAAACCAAATGTAGTAGTACATCCATACAATGGAATATTATTCAGCCATAAAAAGAAATGAAGTACTCACAGATGGATGAACCATGAAAACATCATGCTAAGCGAAAGAAGCCAGACCAAAGAGCCATCTATTATATGACTTCATTTATGTGAAATGTATAGAATAGGCAAATTCAGAGAGGCACATTAGTGGTTTCCTGAGGCTTTGAGGAGAGGGAATGGGGAATGACTGCCAATGAACAGGAGCTTCTTTTGTGGCGATAAAAATGTTCTAAAATCAAATAGAGGCGACAGTTTTACAGCTCCATGAATATACTAAAAGCCAATGAATTACATACTTTAAAAAGATAACTTTTATAATACATTTCAATAAATTTGTCATGAAAAAGTATCGTTCTAAGCAAATAAAAAGAGCAAAGAAAAAATACTTTTTTTTTTACTTATTATTTTTTTTAATTTGGCTGTTGGTGCTAGAAAGCAAACACTTCTTTTTCGAGACAATAGATGGATTTTTCAGTAGAAATAATAAAGGGAATTTTCAAAGACTTTAGAATTTGATGGCACTAGTTCTTCATCATTTATAGTTTCACTTCAAAGTGTATTAGTTTATTTTTCCAGGTCGCAATAAATCCTAATTTCAAGTCTTGGTCATAATTAGGTTTAATTTGGAGCATGAAGCTGGAAATTAGGAAAGGGAGGAAAAGGAATAAGAGAGAAAGGACTAATTTTTCCAAAGTGACAGAGAAAGAGTTGCAAAAAATAAAGCTGTTGATAAAAGAATATCTTTGAGTTGGTATGAGCTACAAAAGTGTGGAGAAGTGGAGATTTCCCTGAACAGGAAAGAAAGATGACACTGGGTGGCAAGCCCCCAAGGACGCCGATTGGCCGCAGGTATTTTGGTGGCTCTCTGGAGTGTCCTTGTAGTGGTGCGGAAGGAAGAAAACTATTCCTTGGTTTTTGGGAGTTCAGGGTTCATTCCTGTCTCAGTATTCCATATTGCATATGAGTGCATCTAATCTTCCCAACTACGCTACACATCTGCGAGGGCAGGATTATGTGTTTTATGCCTCATTTTATCTCTCATCGCTCCCATTACTTTTGTATCGTAGATGTTCGGCCAATACTTGTAAAACAGTGAATCACCCAATCAAATAAATGAATAGCAACTTGTTTACAAAGCATGTTCAGCAAGCTCCCACGAGATTTTAATTGACTCCTTGGCCCTTTTTCCTTGCCGTGGAGCACCAGTGACGTAGTGACCCTGCAATCCTGCCACGTCACCCATTCTACAGCACTAGGTGAGGTTTGCAACCTCCATAGTCATCAACCTTTCCATTATCTATTCTTTTGAATTTTAAATACAGCATCAAAGCCTTTTTCCCACCTAGCCTTAGAGTTGTAGCCTAAGTCCTTAACTGATGTTTTCCTTTCAGGCACACCGAGGAAGGCAGTCACCTTTCCAAACCCTCCCCCATCCCTGGCATAGTATCTGAGCCTCTGCTCATGCCTGGGATAAGAGAGCAGAGTTAACAGGCATATGTTTTCACTTCAACAGTGAACCAAACTTGGAATTTTAAGAATCTATTTCTCTTTATCCCCTTTAGGAAAAAGTACTTGGGATGTCGCAGGAAGAAGTGGACTGAAACGTCAGAAGATGTGTTATCTGGAATACTCATTGGCCAGCCGTGGCCCTGTGTACATCAGTCTCAACACAGACTCTAGGAGAAAATAAAAATGGACAAGGCAGATGGAGCACTGAAGTTTTGAAAACCATTATTTCTGTGAATCTAGAGACATCAGGGGAGGCCCCGTTCGTCTCCAGCTCATAGGCTGTAGCAGCATAGCCTGACATCCATGTTTTTCTGGCCCTCCACTGAGTGTGTGAAGAAGTCTAGAAAGACCAGTGGTGAGTTTTCTTTCAAATATTCAGAACAGAAACCATCACTCTGCCTCTGTTGGCCACCGTAAGGAAAGCATGTTACAGATATTTGCTAACCTTATGAGGGCGAAATGATAAATTGTGTGTGCCTACTCTTTGGTTTCTAGTACTATTTATTTATTTATTTTTTTAAAGAATTTTATTGGGGAATTGGGGGGATGGGAACAGTGCTGGGAAATTGGGGGATGGGAACAGACAAGTTGCTGTCGTTTTGTTCTTCAGTCTAGTTGGGGAGGACGTTGCTTCACTGGCCCAAGTTGGCACCATCATTGTGCTCTTCCCGGGCGAGGCAGATCAGTCAC